CCGATGAGGAGCGGCTTGGAAGGGCAGGCATCACCGGCAGCATCCGGTGCGTTTTTTCTGGCTGTCCTGCCGTCCTGGACATACCAGGCTTATGTCCGTGACTGACCCGGGACAGTGAAGTGGATGGAAGAGAGCGCGTAGGAGAAGCTCTCTTCCTCTTTGACAGCATTACCGTGGGCGACTGTGATCTCCTTTTCTGCCCTGCGGGAGGTTCTGAGACCTGGTCCTCAGAAGGCTGTAAAGCCTTATCACACAATAGCAGTTTTAAGCGCATATCTCTTTCTCTGCGTGCCCTCGGTGTCAATTTCGCGCAATGGGCGCATTTTTGTGGCACATGCGATTCCCCTAAGCACCTCACACAGGCTTCGTGCCCGTCAGATGCCAGCATGGCTTCTTTACAGTGAGCACAGCGTTTAAACCCCCGTGACCCAGGCATAATGTGTTTTTTTTTTTTTTTTTTTAAGTAGCACCTAACTATATTAACCAAAGTTGACTATCTATAATCTTTCTTCTTTTCTCCACGCCCCACCCTCCTCCCCGCTCCGGGTCTCTCTGCTTTGTCTTTCAGGGACCGAGCGGCGAGAGGAACTGACAAGGGGGGGCCGGACCGTTGCAAAGGCGCGAACGCCGCACGCTGCGCTCGCGCATGCGCGGTCCGGCCCGGCTACGGCTATGGAAATTTCCGACCAGCGGCGCCAGGATGGGACCCGACACCTTGAGTGGAGCACCCACGGGGACCACTCGAAGAAGAAGGTCTCAGTTTCTTTTCCATCCACAAACAAGCAGGAGCCTATCTGCATTACACTTACCTCAAGGAGAGGGACTCCCCCTGAGGTGGTGACATGTCCCTCAGCTTCTAGGAGGAAAAACTAGTAGCACTTTAAAGACTAAAGTGCTACATAGTTTTTCCTTTTGTTTTTGCAAGATCAGACTAACATGGCTACCTTCTAGGAGGAGGCATGGTCAGGCAATTCTACGCACTGCCTCTACCCACAGGCATTGTCTTCACTGCTCCCATTAGCCCTGGTTCTAACGGAAGACAGGTGGGGGCAATGCACACAGCCCCCCTTGCTATGGCTGATCCCAGCAGCAGCGAGGGTCCCAAGCCACCAGGTGCTTCATGTCTCATGGGCCTTTGTATCCTCCCCACCCAAGGTTTAGTCAGGGGACTATAGTACAAGGTATAGACAGGTCACAGGCTGTGAATTTTTGTTTACTGCCTGTAACCTGTCCATGACTCTTGCTAAAAATACTCTTGACTGAAGACAGTATTTTATACCTTTGGGTCTTTCAGCTCCTTCCTCAGTGTTACTGAAGGTTACCACAGATACCTCCTCCCCCCTTAACCATAACTGAGGTGTATATTTCTTTTTAAAGGAATAGACAACATTGTTATTTACTGAACTTAAATAATACTCTAACTGGGGCCCTATCAAATTCAGTTCATTTGATCCATTTCACAGTCACGGGATTTTTAAGATGGTCAATTTCACTGTTTCAGATGTAAACTTCTGAGATTTCACAGGGCTGCAATCCTGAGGCATCCTGACCCAAAGGAAGGTAATTAAGATAGAGGGTTACTAAGCAATTCTAGGGGGTCATGGCATTACCACCCTTACTTCTATGCTGCTCCTGGCAGGGGTGCTGCCTTTAAAGCTAGGCAGCCAGAGAGCAGTAAGGGCTGGCCAGGCATCATACGCTAAAGCTAGTGCAATCGCCAGCACTAAGGTGGAGGAGGGATTGCCATACATCTGGGCTTTCCTGGCGGCCTCTGCCTGGGCTAACAGTCACCATCACATCTGCGCTGCCTCCAGAGCTGGGCTCCCAGCCAGCAGTCTAAGCTTCCTGAAGCTGGGTAGAGTTCCTGGAGGTGGATCTATCCCAGCTCTGGGGAAAAGGAAGTAATGAGCCAGAACTGAGCCAGAACTAGCAGCTGGAGCTAGGCCACAGTATGAGCCCTCTGCCCCTCTCCTAGAATAGCCAGATTTCACTAAAGAGATCAGATTTTTGTAGTCCATGGCACACGTTTCCCAGCCATGAATTTGGTAGGGCCCTAAATATAACTAATAATGCAGCTTACTACTCCACATTCCTAGGAAGATTTGCTAGGGATGTAATTTTTGTTCCTAACCTTCCTCAGCTTCCCAATTGCAATACATCTATAATCACTTGGCTGGCTGAAGCACCAGATTTATTTGGGATCTCAAATCAATCATGGAACAGTGGAAGCATTCACTCCTGGGCTATGTCTAGACTGGCATGATTTTCCGCAAATGCTTTTAACGGAAAAGAGCGTCTAGATTGGCACAGATGCTTTTCCGCAAAAAAGCCCCGATCGCCATTTTTCGCAATCGGGGCTTTTTTGCGCAAAACAAATCTGAGCTGTCTACACTGGCCCTTTTGTGCAAAAGCTTTGCACAAAAGGACTTTTGTCCGAACAGGAGCAGCATAGTATTTCCGCAAGAAGCACTGATTTCTTACATGAGATCGTCAGTGTTCTTGCAGAAATTCAAGCGGTCAGTGTAGACAGCCGGCAAGTTTTTCCGCAAAAGCACCTGCTTTTGCGGAAAAAGTTGCCAGTCTAGACACAGCCCTGGTGTCTGTAGAGCAACATGATCTACTGGGGCAAAGGAACATTTACACTCTGCCCTCAGATCTCTTTAGCATGTTGGAAGTCAGTTGTTTGGCATGCTGTCTGTGTTTTCCTGAGGAACACAAGTGGGAGAAGGAAAACGGCAATTTAACAATTTATAACCAAACCAAATTTGAACAGAATTTCAAAGGACAAGTAAAAGACATTATTCTAGCCTCAAATCTTTATCCCTGTCCAATATGAAGGATCTGGTGCAAACAATGGTGGGGTTAGAGAGGCTCAAACAAGAGACAATCTTTTATAAAGGAATAAATAAAATGGTTGCTTCCATCTCCTTTCTATTATCAAAGCCTTTGTCAGTGCCTAGATTTGAATTACTCTGCTGCCTTTGAATTAAGCTAACTAAAACGTAAAATGAATAATAATCTAAAATATTCTGTCTTGACATATATCTCACTAACTTTCACTATAGGTATATTATACGCACACACACACAAGCATAAAACACACTTGCAGTTTTTCTTTACCTTTACAGTGGAATGAAAGCATGACACTTTCTGAACTTGCTTGCCACTATTGCATTCCCAAACCTGAATTCATTTATTAAGGAAATAAAAAGGGTCATAACATGTTTCTTTGCTCAGTTTAAAATTAATTGGCAGCATTTAAGAAATAAATGTAGACACACATGGGTTTTCCAAATACTAACATACTTTTCAAAATTTAGACACTCTGAAATGACACTGAGTTGTTCATTACCTAGTCATTATTTTTGTGGTAGGGACCATGTCTGCTTGCGAACAGAGGCGAACACAACAGAGCCCCAATCCTGATTAAGTCTTTGAATCCTACTATAGCCGGTCCCCAATTTACAGCCACCTCAACTTACAACCATCTGCACTTTACAAAGCGGTCGTAAATGCAGGCTCCAAGTTACGAACGCGATCCGCACTTACATTGCGACCGCGCTGTTCGTAACTGAATGGGTTCCGAGTTACGACCATTCTAAGTTACGGCTAAGCGTTTGGTGCGTAACGCGTTCGTAACTCGGGGACCGGCTGTATAATATAAACCAATTGCCACCCACTCTGCTGCCTGGCTCATTGTTCCCTTTAAAATCAGTTGAAACTTCTTAAGATTTAAGGATACAATAACTGTCCTATCAGCAGATGCAGTTAAAATCAAATAATTTTTTTCTTTACAAGCATCAGATGACGGAAATGCAGTGATAGCCGTAATTTTGTGTGTGTGTCCATGAAGCTCAAATAGTTTTTCTCCAGTCTGAAAAACAAAATGCAGCACGTGATGGGTAACATTTTCCAAAATCATCTAAATCCATGTGGAATTTTTGAAAGTGGGAACTCCTAAATCATTTTGGTACTACTGCAAATATTAATCCAAGACTGATTATGCCTAAATGAATATTACTATGAATGTAGGGGAATTCTAAAGGTCTATACATTTCATAACTGGAAACACTTCAATATTTGTTTAAGGTAAATATTTCAGAATTTAACTTCTGTATTTAAAATTGGGACATGAAAGGTTAACTGGTAAGCATTACCCTAACTGGGTGATGCTTACCAGTTCTGGTTAACCGATGGGGGCTGGAGCAGATCCCTGCCAACTAAGGACAAAGGGCTGCTCCAGACCAGGAGGAAGGGGACGGGGGGGAGGCACCATGGACAGAGGCTGCTCAGGCTATTTAAATGGATAACCAATTAAACAGAATTGTACATTCCTACTTTAAATGGTTTCAGTTTTAGCTTACACATTAACCAATTTACTTCATTATATTCTATTGACATTACTGTGTGTGTTTTGCTAGCAAGTGAGAAAATCTGAAGGTTTTATTTTAAAACCATTTGACATTCTTTATTAAGAGTTTGTTACAATAGTGAGTTTCATATAATAAATGTCATCTATTATAATATGAGATTATTATAGCTAACCTACCTAACTGTTAATTAGGGATGCAGAGACAGCTGAAACTGTACCCTGATGAATTAACGTGAAATAAGAATGGTCATACTGGGTCAGACCAATGGTCCATCTAGCCCAGTATCCTATCTGCTGACAGTGGTCAAAACCAGATGCCCCAGAGGGAGGGAGCACAACAGGTAATCCTCACGTGATCCCTCCCCTGTCACTCATTTCCAGACAATCAGAAGCTAGGGACACCATTCCTACCCATCCTGGCTAATAGCAATTGATGGACCTAACCTCCATGATTCTGTCTAGCTCTTTTTTGTACCCTGTTAAAGTCCTAGTCTTCACCACATCCTCTGGCAAGGAGTTCCACAGGTTGACTATGTGCTCAGTGAAGAAAAACTTCCTTTTGTTTGTTTTTAAACCTGCTGCCTATTAATTTTATTTGGTGCCTCCCCCCCCCCAGTTCTTATATTGTGGGAATAAGTAAATAAATTCTCCTTATTCACTTTTTCCATACCAGTCATAATTTTATAGACCTTGATCATATCCCCCCTTAGTCTCCTCTTTTCTAAGCTGAAAAGTACCAGTCTTTTTAATCTCTCTTCATATGGGACTCATTCTAAACTCCTAATAATTTTTGTTGCCCTTTTCTGAACCTTTTCAATGCCAATATATCTTTTTTGAGATGAGGCAACCGCATCTGTACACAGTATTCAAGATGTGGGCACACCATGGTTTGTCATATTTTGCTATAAGCATACAAGTGTACAGAAATAGAAAAAGAGATCTTAAAAGTTGGACATCCATAAGTTTTACATAGCTAATGTAATGTGCATTTTCCCAACTTGAATATTGATTCTCTCGCTCACACACAATTTTCTGTTACATATTACATGGCTATGAAATGTCTTCCATAATAAATGAAGTGCTTAACTGAAAGGCTACGTCTAGACTGGCATGATTTTCCGCAAATGCTTTTAACAGAAAAGTCTTCCGTTAAAAGCATTTGCAGAAAAGAGCGTCTAGATTGGCATGGACGCTTTTCTGCAAAAGCACTTTTTGCGGAAAAGCGTCCGTGCCAATCTAGACGTGCTTTTCCGCAAAAAGCCCTGATCGCCATTTTCGCGATTGGGGCTTTTTTGAGCAAAATAAATCTGAGCTGTCTACACTGGCCCTTTTGCACAAAAGCTTTTGCGCAAAAGGGCTTTTGCCCGAACGGGAGCAGCATAGTATTTCCGCAAGAAGCACTGATTTCTTACATGAGATCGTCAGCGTTCTTGCGGAAATTCAAGCAGCCAGGATTGACAGCTGGCAAGTTTTTCCGCAAAAGCAGCTGCTTTTGCGGAAAAACTTGCCAGTCTAGACATAGCCAAACTGTTCAGAAGAGAAGGAAGGAAAGCTGTAAGTTCATCTGTCCCTATTTTGTTACATTGTTGTAAATGTTATAATTTTTTCAAGATAGATTTATAAAAAGTTTAGTCTTAGATTTCTCTGCCTCACTAAAATCTGAATGTTAAACTTTTAGACTGGTGAACTATCTGCCTTTCTGTCTATTTAATAGCTGAGCTACTTACAGGGTATCTGTAAGCAGTTGTAAAAGGTAACCTCCAACTTACTCACAATCTCATCAAAAAATTGGAAGGTTTAGGGAGAAAACCTCAAAAATGCAGTATTGCTATAATAAGCGTTACTATTCAACAAAGCAGTTCTAAAAGCTGGAATAAGACCTGTACCATGCAAGCAAGTAAGAGCTCATTCCATCTTAGTAACTCTATGGTGGTGACACTGAGATCATCTTCTTTGTTAGTCCCCATTTGGGCAAAGATTTACATATGTGCTTTTCCTAACACAGGGGATGAGCAATAAGTGGCACACCAGGGTTAGCTTCTGGTGGGGTGCCAGACACTTTATTTACCTCTGTATTTACAGGTATGGCCTCTCACAGCTTGTGTTGGCCATAGTTTGCCATTCCCAGTTATGGTAACTACGGAAAGCGGTGGTCTAGCCTGTGCCACTTCCTGCAGCTCCCAGTGGCCAGGAATGACAAACCGCAGCCAACAGGAGCAAAAAGTTAAACTCATGCGCAAGCAGTTCTTAATATATGGGTACGGCTTCCAGGCCTGAGCCCCAGCACCTCTGGTTGGTAGCGTAAGTTATGAAAGTATATTTTAAAAACCTGCTTGAGCCCCCTTCCTCCCCTTCTTAGTTACAAATCAAGCTTTGTGCATAAGTCTTTGCAGGACTGGGGCCGCGCCATGCTGTCAGCTATTGAAAACATTTTAACTTGTGCTTTCAATACTTCACCTTGCATTGAATATTTTCATACACATTTTCACTTCTCTTTAAAGACAGTTTCACATACTACTTTTCTGAAGCTAAAACATCCCAGAATTGTTTATTTTTCTTGGATTAGATGCGTCTATAAAACTCAACTTTTATTTGTTCTGTGCTAATGCTCTCTTGGACTGATTCTGAACTTGCACTAAACTGTACATTGTTATACAAACTCTACAAAACTTCAATGGACTGATTAATTACATGAGTTCAAGAGCAAAATCAGCCTCCAGCCCCATATTCCCACTCCTATCCACAGCCTTATTACAGTATGTAACCCTGTTAAAAACTAACCTGAGCATTCCACAGAAATACAATTCCATCATCTCCTGCAGATGCAAATCTGGTAAAGAACAAAGAAAACAAAACCTATTAAGACAGTGATAAATAGTATGATGCCCTGCACAAATAATCACTATTTAAACAGAGCAAATAATTTCCCTTATAAGGAGAGCAATCACTTTGATTTTACTAGTAATCAGAAGCATAAAAAGTACCTCTAAGCCCCAAAACTGCATGGACACCAAAATTATTGATTTCATTAAGAAAAAGTGAACTTTGTCACATTACACACTTTAATAGTCTTCTTCCTGAGACTATTCTTTAACATTGTTCTAAGCATTTTGTCACTATTCCAAATAGTAGCCTATACTACAGAATCAAGTCTTATTACTGATTAGATTCAATATCAGGAGCGGGGAGATAGAAGTCTTATATTGAATAAAGCCAAATCATGATTTATTAGCTTTCTCATCTAGCCAAGTAATTTAGAGAGCAGTATATATAGTCAGGCCAGGAGTGTATGAATCTTATACAATCACTTTTCTTTAAACCGACTTTGCAAAAGAACTCGCGAGAGGACTGTATGTCTCCAGCTGTGCATAACACCTGCTGAAATCCATCTAAAGGTCTTACCCTGCATCTACACGAGGAAAAACAGTTGAGTTTTGACTGTTTTAGCTAGCTCAAGTTACCTAAACACAACTAAACTTGGCCTTTTCCCTTAATTTCATAGTGTCTCAGTGAGCCCTGTATATACTAGCAGTTTACTGTCAGTTCAGCTGCACTATTGCTGAGTATGAGTTTTCCTAGTAATAGCTGTACCTGCTGTTTAAGGAAAGTGACCCCTTTTTCTGTTCTTTCAATCAGCAAAAGATATGATGGGAAGATATCTCTTGACTGGGGATACAGCTACACTTGAATTTTTAGTTGTTCGAGGCTGCGGCACAGGATTAAACACAACTAAGCAACGTATGCTTGAACAAGTGTGTGTGTGTGTGTGTGTGTGTGTGTGTGTGTGTGTGTGTGTGTGTGTGTGTGTGTGTGTGTGTGTAAGTGTGTAGTGTTTACACAAACTTTTAGTCATGTTAACTAACACGATGGAAAATTAAAACCTACGCCTAATCAGAGAAGATGCAAAATTTCTGAAGGTGATGGTTGGAAGTGGAGGCTATGGGGGAAGAGGGAGAGAGAAGAGAGGTCAAGAGCTTTGTAAGTCTGCAGATATCTACTTTATATCTACAGATGTAAATAGGGATGTCTGCAGCTCATTTTTGCGGATACAGATGTGGATGCAGATACAAAATTTTCTATCTACATAGTGCTCTAAAGATGGCAGTAGATGTCCTGTCAAGAGTTTAAAAAAAACTCTAAAGGTGATAGTGATGAGAGATGAAGGGAAAGAATGCAATTATAACCCAGACCTTGAGTAAACTAAACCACAGCTATTTTAGCTACCATTAATTAAAAGCAGAATATTTCATAGCTAGAAATAATTGTCAGGACTTTCATAGGCAAAGCCAAATTGTGACAATGCAGCTTTGCTAACCAAAATAAAAAGATTAACAAAACATTAAAAAAGAAAGCAATCAATTAAAAATACTAACATACGTCTTATTGTTATTATTAAAAATATCAAAATTACTTTGCTAATAAAGCTATTTGATAAAGCTTAAAAAATTGGTAACCCGGTAATAGTTACTATAAATAATGTGTTTTTATAAAAGTTAGCTATACAAAATTAAATAAAATAAACATCATGGAGCAGTCTGAGGGAGATTTTCTTTAGGCAAGGAACTAACCCCTAAACTATGGAAGAAGGTCCTCCAAAAGCCCAGCTCATGATCACTTGAACCCAAAATCAGAGATGTTTAACTACATTTGGGGTGTTCTGAACATATTGCATATATGCATGTGCCCTTAAAGCTTAATAAAGTAATTTTAGGTAAGTGTTCTGGTTTGTATCAATCATTTATTTAAAAGAAAAGCTGTGTCCCCATTGAGTTACTCCTGACACTGCCTTAAAAAAAATAAATTAAAAAAAAAGTTAATGCTTTTGGTTAAAAAAACCCAGGGTAACTGATTTGGAGAGCCAGCCTGAAGTGATGAAGAGGAGTGACGATGGGTACAATTTGATATGCAATATGGAGGAGTTGGCAGAGCAGGGTGGCAACCAGTAAATTTCCATGTTGTCGTCTACAAGTTGATATAAAGATACATTCTGTTTCTGGGATTCAGGCTGGTACTCTGATCAAGAAAGAAAGTATGTAAACAAACAAAAAAGGAATATCTAAAAAATGAAAATGATTTTGGGTAACAGCTTGACAGATTTTGTAAAAAAATACACAATAATGGACTCTAGAAGACTTTAGCTTTC